CCCACTTCCCCTGGTTAGCGGTTCCCTGTCCCACGAGAACGACGGTGAACCTCTGTTGTTGTTGTTGTTGAACGAAGCCCGGTCCTTGTCCCACGATGACGACGACCAGCTCTTGTAGAATGGTTCGGCCCACGACGCGAACTTGGACGTTAGCTCGTTGGGCCGGTAATACGAGTCGCGAAACTCGGCCGGTTCATCATATCTGCTATTGTACACGGCCGTCGACTTAGATGTGACCGATGTGACGCCGGTGCCACCGCCGCCGATACCGACACCACCGCCCCCCTGCACACCACCACCACGATTGTAGGCGTTTTCGTAGGACGTCAATCGGCTGCGCTGCAAGCTATCCGGCGGTAATTTCCTACGAATAAAAAGGCATATATAGTGTCAACAGACTACAAAGGCGATATTTTTCAAATAATTTAATATATCAATCTAATTAGACGTTTGTTATAATCATTAAATAGACAATTTTTGCTCAAGTAAATATGCCACTATGATCTGTGTATATAGGTGGGAAATCTTGTATAGTGCTCGAGATAAAATTATTTAAATTTCTGGACCATATTGCGTAATGCGTATAATGTATATGGTATATATATTTAGGATAATATACCTACTCGTTTTGTGGTAAATTGTACCCAACACAAATTCAAATAACTTTACTTAGAAAACAGATAACCTTAACACAATATTAAAAATTTATACAGTTACCCCAAATGATACTGTGTAAAATTGCGTAGGCAATAGGGCTTCATTTGGCCATTTGGGGCACTAATATCTAGAGGTTATTTCTGTCTGTTAAAGACGACAAAAAAAAGTTTACCAGAAAACTGAGTAACTTTTTTATAAGAAATACGGGCCTTTTTGTTTATTTTGCATCTGAGTAAAGTTTTATATTTACACTTACTATTTTAAATGTTCAAGGTATTTAAATAAAATTAATGTACCTACGATATGAAAATGATAAAAAACTAGATTCAATTAACTTATATCAAAAAAAAATTGTATTTAGACGTTTTGAGAGCATTTGATAGTATCTAATATCCATAGAACTTCTTCTAACCGAGAGTACTCAAAAACCTTCGTATTTTAAGTACGCATATGAAAATCTGTACCTATATATCTGTATACTATATAGTCTGTACCCAGGCACTTGAAAACATTTAAAAAGTATCATTTATAACAAGACTTCATTAGGTGGGTAATGGGTATACAATATACATCATAGTGTAGGTACGCACCTGTTGGAGTCCTGCAGTTGTCGGAAATCGGCGGAAAATGGGCCGGGACCGAGCGCGTACGGATCAGCCGAATAAGCGGGCGACGGCGGAGGGTAACCGGCCGGCGGCCGGATGACATCGGGCAGCGTCGCGTAGTAGATGATCCTCTTAGACGTCCTCTGCACGGCCGGCTGCTGTTGGCGCGAGTTTTGGTAAAAGCTACTGTCCCGCTGCTGATGGTAGTACGCTGCTCCAGCCGTCGCTGCGGGCGGCTGAGGCGACGGTAGCTCTTCGACTCGCGAGTACACGCTGATCTCGGGCCGGGGCCGCTGACGTTCCGCCCAGCCGTTGGACGTGACAAACTTGTGGTTCCGCGGGTTCCGCACCTCCACCTCGGCCGATCTAAGGTACCGGTCGCACGGTGACGTGCCGTTGTTGGCGTCACCGCCGCCGGACACTGAGGAGGACGGCGGCGAACGGTCGTCGTCGTCGTTAGTCCTCGCTTCGGGCGCGGGTGCCGCCGTTTTTATCTGCACGACGTCCGCCGCACCGATCGGTCGCAGCGACCAGACGACGGACAACAGGGCCACCAACAGTACCTCCTTCATCCTGCCCGGGATACCGCGGTATAATCACGACGACTTAGTGTGGTCGACGATTTTATAAGCCGAATATAATATATACTTAGGAACTTAGGCAATACCTATAGCTGGTTTGGTATGTATATTATCACTAGCTACTTGTAATAATATAATATATATTATATTATAATTCGCCGTCGAACCTGTAGGGAATTATCAAACGAGTATGACATTAATTTTTTTTTTTATATATAAATAGGTCACATAAAGAGGTCAAGTTACAAACTATTATTATAAGTATAGTTATTGTTATAATTTTCTATATTTTTGTGGATAACAAACGGAATGTCACAATGTAATTTTATGTTTAATTTGCCTTAAATATTCTATATGGTTAATAACTATAGTTATTACTTATTATAATAAGTAGGTAAACAATTATTGATTAATAAATTGCTGCAGTGAATGGATTTTCTACTGTAATATAGGTAATAATATGATGAACCTTAAATTGTCAAAAAAGTAATATATTATGATATATTTATACGTATATTGTATGTATATTATAAAATCATGAAAATTATTTTTAAATAAATATTAGAATATTTCAACCAAACCATTTCAAAGAATCTTCTTGAAGTACTAAAAAGCTATTATATAAATGTATTTGAAGTATAAACTATAAAGAGAATGGCACGAATAGTAACAATCAAAAAAATATGAAAAATATGTAAAATTATAAAACTAAAATATACATCCTTCGATATGATTACTATAATGGACATATTTAAATACTAGGCGTAATATGGGGGTGGCAAGAGGGTGCCAACTGCCCCCTCAGATATTTAACTAAGTGGGTAATAGAGTAATTTTACCTTATATAGATTTTTAGTTTTACCACAGTCCCCCCCATCAAGTATTTACCCCAGATTACGCCTATAAATACTAGTGCCTATTATAACATTCACACTCTCAGTATACCCATTGGCACAAGAGGGGGGATTAGACCACAAAACTTTATGCTATTGTCGTATATTGTAGACAGTCGTCAAAATATTATTTCATATATGTAATAGAGGTGGGAACTTTTTATTGTAAAACATTGACATAGGTCAGTGAAGCATATGTGCTGAGACAGCGATAAGATTACTATATAACACCGCCGCACGCGCAGGCACGGAGAGTCCCGTTGTCGCTGAGTGAATCGGCGAGAACGTAGGTACTGTGGTCGTGCGTGTGAAACGTCGATCGGAGTACGGGCTAAGCGATCTGAATTCGCCAAGTATATTTTATTTTGTGTTTGTTATTTAAATATAATAAAAGTGTTTCCGACCTAAAAACCCGAGTTGAGTTTTATTTCAAAGTCTTCTTCGTTCTTACCTTTAATATTGGAACAGTGCTCAGACCCACACACCTATAGTCAATGAGGTTTATTACAAACTGAACAGTGCTCTGGTTGTGGCGTCCTAATAGTCATTCCAATTTAGGAAACGAACGAAGAACTGACAAAACGCTACCATCGTACCTCAAAGGTTAACAGTGCTAATCTGAATTTATTCTAGAGACAGTCATTAGCCTAGAGCGTACGAGGGTAAGGTATAAAGTTGGTTTACCGCGTATTATCCAATACGGGTGATACCACAGAGTGGCGCCCAACGGGGTTACTTACCTACGGTCGGAGACATTTTTTTTTGATTTTGTGCCCTGGTACCTCAACCTTGGCAAGTTTAATTTTTTTGAAAGTGTTTACGTACGAGAAGTACGACAGTTTTTACGTGTAGTCTGGGAGAGATTCCCTTGACACACCTTTTTTTTGGTACAAGTGAAGTACAACGATTGTGCACGTTTCGGATAGTAAAACCCGGATCGAGTTTAGTGATTTTTTCCGTTAAAGTAAAATATACCTTTTGTGTTTTGGGTGCAGTGTAAACCCAGAACGCAATTTTTTTGCGTGTGTATACCGAGTGAGTAACTCATACGCGTTCGATTTTTGTCTGACCGACAAGACAGCAGTTTTGTGCCGCGTGGTACAATTTCTGAAACCGTGCGTCTACAAGTATACGCCAAGGTGAGCAACGTTTTGTAATATACTTAATACTTATATTAGGATTATAGATTAGATTTTTCTTAAAACAATTTAAAAAGAATTTTAGTTCAATAATTTTTCAAAATTTTTTCGATTTTAAATAACCGCAAAATTTTAATTTAAGTTTTAAACAAGTAGATTAGGTTTTTTTAAAGAAACTATTTAAATAGGATATTTTTTTTTTAGTTCAATTTTTTTCTCTCTCTTTCCCTTTTTACCTTTCAAAATTTTTTTTTAGATATAATTATAACCGCAAAAATATATTAAAATAAGTGATATACTAACGTATTAATATTAGGATTGTAGATTAGTTTAGTTTAAATTTAAATAGGATTTTTTTTTTCTCAATAATTTTTCAAAATGTTTATTCAATATTAAATAACCACGAAAAATTAAATATATTGGAAAATAAAAATCCCAAAAACAAAATGGAAAAAATGATAGTAAAACCGGATAGTTTTTCCGGACAAGGCGACATAAAAACTTTCATCAGACAATACGAAAAGGCAGCACTGCAGATCAACAATTGGAACGACGACGAAAAAATTAAGTTTCTATCAATATTTTTGAAAGAAACTGCTAACAAATTTCTACAAAATTTGGAAAACAAAAAAGAAAACTGGTCATGGGAAAATCTAAAAAGCGAGTTCATAAACGAATTTCAACCCATAGGATACTCAATAATATTAAAAAACAAATTAGAAAATAGGAAACAGAACGACTTAGAGTCAATTTCTAGTTTTGTTACGGAAATAGAATACCTGTGTAGCCAAGTACAAAAAGATATGAAAGAGGAAGATATTTGCGTGTACATACTAAAAGGTACCTATATTACATGCCATCTCACTGCATGATAATAGCACTTTGAAAAAATTGAAAGAAAATTTAAAAAAATATGAACTTATGCAATTTAGAATTAATTCAAGAAGTTCAGGACTCAGCGAATACACGGAAATCTTAAATAAACAAGTAATGCAACTAAATAATGAAACTAAAGACAGCAATCAAGAAATAAAACGATTAAATACAAAATTAGAAGGAATAGATAGTTATCATAAAAACAAAATCGACCAACTGTGTACCAAAATCGAACAACTATGTACAGAAATGCATAATTTTAAAAAATACGACAAGACAGTCAATTTTGAAAATAGATCACGCAAGCGAGACAAAAGTCCATATCCAGGAAGAACAGATCACGAAGGCAGGAACAATTATAGGGAAAAAAGTCCTTATCCCGATAGGTACGACAACTATAAGCTCAGAGAAAGTAGTAGAGATAGATACAATAACAATAAATATAGAAATAACAGTAGAGAAATGAGCAATAATAGAGATAGGTCTGACTCAAGAAATAGGGAAAACTTCTACGACAGATCCAGAGATAGAGATAGTTATAAGAACAGAAATCGTGAAAATGACATAAGTAGGAAACAGCACAGTAGGGAAAACAGCAGAGAAAGATATTCAAGATCCACGACGCCGGAAGGATTTAACAGAAGAGAAAAAATAACATGCTACAAATGCAATAATAAAGGACACTATGCTAGCGATTGCAATTTTTCAAAAAACGAATAGCACCCGAGCTAAGAGAAAAATCGGAATATCTAACTCGGGGAACAAAATATAATGCTAATACCAAAATCGATACCTCAAAATTTAACAAAGAGAAGCAGATTGAGAAAAATAATTATATACATTTTGTAGAAAATTGGTACAAATCAACAAATTCAAACAAATTAATAACTAATGAAATAAACGACGATGACGAAAAATCTATAGAAAACATCGTAACAATAAGTAATTTGAACCCATTAAATGAATTCCAAAAATTCCTACTCAGCAATAACGATAGAACCGACTTCCTATGCGATTACAGTGAACAGACGGTAAATATTTTTTCATTACCAAATGATATCGCAATCGGCCATTGCACAAGCCAATGCCTCACCATGCAGTTTTTCCCAACTTTAATACTGTAGAAAAAAATGTAGACCATTTCTTATACGAATGTTTTGATCGCTTAAAATTATCACAACAAAACACAATAGAAAAAAATAAAACCGGCAACTATTTTAAAACTGACAAATCAACAATATGGTACTCACAATTTTGCCAAGACTGCGAATATTTGTCCACAACCAAGGATGTACTAGACGACCATGATGACAAAGAAGAGTATTGGAGTGAGGGGGGAAACGTTATGTTTTGTGAAATATGCGGAAACTACATAAGAGAATATCGGAATCGGCCCATACAAGAAGACGAGAAAGCCATAGAAACCAAAAATCAGCTAATTCAACACAAAGACGAAATTAAAATCAAAAATCAAAATACAAGCGTAGATTCAGACACAGACCGGAAACAAAGAGTGCTATCCATAAAAATAAAACTAGACGGCAACGAACAAAATGCAATAATAGACACAGGCTCGAATCTATCTTGTATAGATTATTCCCTAGTAAAAAATAAACAAGAAATTAAACCCAAAGAACAAATAAAAATAACAGGCGCAGATAATAATGAACTAATACAAAGAGGAACAACAGAAATAACAATTACAATCAACACACTCAAATATAAAATCAAAGTATACGTCATTGAAGGACTAAGTTGTAAACTACTATTAGGAAACGATTTCAATATTAAATACAACATAATAATCAATTTTAAAAATAAAAACATAAAAATCGAAAACAATTCTATAAATATGGACGAAATATGGTACGAACACAATAGAAATCATAACATAAATATTTTTGCTACGGGAAGCATTATGTGTAAAAATCAAAATAATGAAACTGAAATAAAAGACGATCAAGGCACAATAATAAACATTTCCAAGGAGCTAAATATTGATCAACGCGTAAAAGCATGTAAATTGATAAAAAGGTTTAAACATTTATTTACATCCGACCCATTAAACATAGGGTGTGCAAATGTGGAGCCCTGCGAAATAAACTTAAAATCCGACAAACCCATATTCCAGCCACCATACAGAACACCCCCAATTCAAAGAGAAAAATTGAAGAAATTAATCAATAAAATGATAGAAGCCGACATTATCGAACCAAGCCGAAGTAATTACGCGGCACCAGTATTTTTAATTCCGAAAAAGGAGAAAGGCGAATACAGATTTCTAGTAGATTATAGGAAATTAAACAATGAAACAATCAGTGACAAACACCCTATACCTAGGTCACAAGACCTTTTTAGAAGCTTAGAGGGAGCAAAATACTACAGTTCTATCGACCTTTGCCAAGGTTATTTTCAGATTCCGGTAAAAAGGGAAGACCAAGATAAGACAGCCTTTATCACGGATTTCGGTCTATACAATTTTAAACGAATACCTCAAGGTTTCAAAAACTCGGGCCCGATCTTTCAAAGAGTTATCAACAATTTATTTAGTGATTTTTTATATAGAACAATGATAGCATACTTGGACGATATATGTTGTTACGGAAACGACTTTGAAGAAGCATTATACAGACTAGAAGAAATATTCAAAAGACTAGACGAAGCCGGATTAAAATTAAAAACTAGCAAATGCGTACTATTAGGTACCGAAATAGAATTATTAGGGCATAAAGTATCAAATAAAGGACTAACACCGTTGGAGAAAAATATAAAGGCGATAAAACATTTTCCAATACCTACCAAAATTAAAGACGTAAGAGCTTTTATAGGACTAACTAGTTATTACAGGAAATATATTAAACATTTTGCGAAAATTGCTACTCCACTCACCGATCTAACAAAAAAGGAAAATAAATTTCATTGGGACAGCTCTCAAGATAATGCATTTAATATATTAAAAAATGCCATAATAACGGCCCCCGTACTAGCTCATTTTGAGGACGAACACCAAGTTTTCGTAACCACGGACGCATCACTAGAAGGACTCTCGGGAATTTTAGAACAAAACGACAAAGATGGGAAACGACACCCTATAGCTTTCGCTTCGAGGAAATTAAAAGGGGGTGAAAGGAACTTCACTACCACTGAATTAGAAATGTCAGCAGTTGTTTTCGCAGTGAACTATTTTAAAGAATATTTGTTAGGCAGAAAAGTAATAGTATTTAGTGACCATTCTAGTCTACAATATTACCAAACAATGAAAAATCCATCGTCCCGAATAACAAAATTTATTTTCAAATTATTAGAATTCGACATTGAAATTAAACACCGACCCGGTCTTTGGAACACAGCGGCGGACTGCTTATCACGATACCCAGTAGACACGTTACAAGTAAAAGATATTTTTGATACCACAGAGACAGAAGAAATAACTTTTGACACAATAAATATAGAAAAAATTAAAGAAAACCAATTAAACGACGAATTTTGCAAAGGCATCATAACAGCAATAAAAGAAAATAATAATTCAAAATACAAAAGAAAGTCTAGACAATTCCTAATTGAAAACGATATTTTATTTTTCAAAAATTGGTCACCAAACGGAGTCAAAAATTTGTTAGTAATACCCAAAAATTTAGTCAATATAGTACTAAAATCTTACCACGAGTCAGCACTATCAGCACATTTCGGAATCACCAAAACATTAGCAAGACTAAAGAAAAAATATTACTGGCCGACAATGATACAAGACACAAACAAATTCATAAAAACATGTGCGTCATGTCAATTTTCAAAAGACCAAAATGGTAAAAAGCCAGGTTTATTACAACCTATTCCGTTAACAGACACAAAACCCATGTCTAGACTATGTTTCGATTATTTAGGACCATTACCAATGTCAAAAGGTAAAAAATATTTAATAGTGGCTACTTGCAACGCGACCAAAATGGCTTTTGCAAAGGCTGTTACAAACGCAGACGCAGCAGCGACCATCGATTTTTATTTGACATAATAACTACCTACGGTACACCAAAATACTTCGTCAGCGACAGAGGTACACATTTCAAAAATACCGAAGTAAAAAACATATGTGAAAAATTAGGAATAACTCAAATTTTTTCGACTAGTTACCACCCCCAGAGCAATGGAATGACCGAATTAATGAATAAAATTATATGCAACGCCTTAACACACTACGTCGACAATAACCAAAAAAATTGGGCACTATATTATAAAATGATTATATTTGCGTATAATACACACCCACACGCAAGATTTGGTTACTCCCCATTCTATCTAATGTACGGCACGGAGGCAACGCAACCTCTAGACAACAAAATCATCCCACCCGAAATAGACAATAATAGAATCGAAGAAATAGTACAACTACAAAAAATTAGGCAAGAATTACCAAAATTAATAGCAGCAGAACAAATAAAGCAAAAGAAACAGTACGACAAGAACCACAAGGAAGTGGAATACCAACCCGGCCAAAAAGTGCTAGTAAAAATAAAATTCCAGAAACAAGGAGAATCAAAAAAATTGGCGCACAAATACAGAGGTCCATTTGAAATATTAGAAAAAATTTCGGACGTAAATTACAAAATTGCATTAACACTAAATGGAAAAGAAACAACGGATACTATACACGTAGATAGACTAAAGCCATACCACGAAGAATTAAATTAAATAAATAAATAATAATACTAATAATGTAAAAAAAAAAAAAAAAAAAAAGAACAATTAATCAAATTATAGTAAAACAAGAAATTATGTAACATTATGAAATTCGTATATTCATATATATTTATTTTTATTTAAGTAATAAAAAATAATAAGTAAATTAAGTATATGTCACATATAAGTTAAATTAATTCTATAAAAAAAAAAGTGTAAAAATAAATATAAATAAAAAACAAAAAAATAGAATGTATTTTCAGCATAAACAAAATTCACGAGTCAACAGACAACAAGCCGCAACAATCTTCTGAGACAAAGTGCGAATATAATATTTTCAAAGTAGACAATAAGCATTAAACCAATAATTATAAAAACAATAAGCAAATACCTTTTCATACGAAGACACGAGGAAGATACTGCAGTCAAAACAGAAGTTTAGAAAAATAATATATGAGAATATAATATATAAATAAAAAAAAATATATATATATACAGATTATAAGAAGAAAAACTAAAACAAGCAAGATAATAAATACTTACCTTATGAAATACAAAAACAGAAGAAGAATTAACTACCACAGAATCGAAGAATAAAATCCCGTAGAAGAACAACAATCATTTACTGCTATTTGTCGAAATAAAAATATTATACTTCAAACTGAGAAAAATCTCTAAGAAAACATTTTCCACAAAGAGCCAATCAATAAATTATTATAACCTTATATGTATTCACATAAATTTTTGTATCTATATTCTGAGTAAAAATTTCATACATTATAATACAGTATAAAATACAACTCAATTTATATTTATATTATAAAAAAAATTATTAATCATTAATATGTATTTATGAATTATATGTTTCTAATTGTTTCTAGATCCTCACATAATATTGCCACAGGTAGAGATTTTTTTTGTATTCATATTTCGAGTTAATTTTATACAGTATAAAATAATTACGGCGGTTGAAATATCGATTTGTCTGTTTTAAATTTAATTTGTTGTAATTAGTGTTAATTATTTTGTATGTTTAATTCGTG